GGCAAAATTTAAAATAAGAGGAAAGGTGTATGTATGTGCTCTATTAAGCTTAATTAAGCAAATATTAAAAAGTGAGGAATTATTTGCAGCTAACACCTTTGGTTTTGTGGTAAATAAGGAACTAGCTGTGGACACGAACCCGGGTTTGATTCCCAGCTGCTCTAATTGGAATGTCGTGAGGATTTTACAGCCGGACAAAACCACAGCGCATGGTATAGAAAGTAACATGGTTTTTTTTTTTGGGTATGTGATTATTTTATTAGGTTGGTTCAACTATAAAGTGATATCTTTTTTTTGCAAAGTGAAAGATGGGCTCCATAATAAAAATAATATTAGGGATACAAAATTTGGGTAGACAAATTTGGACCTCTAATATTTTTGAAAATAAAATACTAAATTTTATACATTAAATATGATTCACACTTTTTAGAGATGTTAAAGTCATGAAATATTAATAAAATCTTTTTATTAATTGGCAATATCTAGTAAATAAAAACAAGTGGCATACACCTATTGTATAAATAAATTTGTGTAGATCTTATTGATGCTAAGTAGCATATGGAATAGTTAGAAATCAATTCATTGTACATTGTGAAAAATTAATGAAATATAGAATTAATAAAATGATTTTTAAAAAATTAAGAGGCAATCCAATGATACATTTTACAAATACCTATGAATATAGAGGTAATAGTGTAATTTTCAAAAACCTGGGGGTCGCCATGGTACCCCAGTCCCACTATAGATCCGCCCCCCATGTTTTGCATTTGTGGCGATATTGCGTACATTGCAATCAATCTGCCCTTGTATTTCTACGACTCAAGTTGGGATCTATTCATGCTTTTTAAAGCATATCCAATGGGTTCTCCAAAAATTCATTAATGTCAAATTTTAAGACTGTTTAAAATTCACATGTAACTTTGTTGTTAACTTGAACAATAGTTAGCCGACTTGCTAAATGTGGCAACAGAGTCGGAGAGAGAGAGAGATAGCAAAGGGATGCTGAAATATAAATTTGATCATTTTCACCATACTTTTTCAAGCATCTCCACTGCACTTTTTTTTTATATTATATATATATATATATATATAAATTTAATCATTTGGTTTTCTATAAATACACATTGGAGTGGACCAAGCTATTATATAACACATTTTAACACACAATAAAGTAAATGAGAAACAATGGAGGAAGTGAAAAATAATGAAGAACTAGGGTTTTTCTTTATTTTTAATCAAAAGATGCGCACTAAGATTTTTATTTTTAAAAGATGCATGCAGAAAAACTTTGAACTAATATTAAGGGTGTATTTTGATGTTTATTATGGTCATTTTGTTTTAAGGTACATCGTATATATATTATTAAAAGTAGTGTTTTTCTCATATTTAGGTGACACATTATAAGTATTTTTTTTTTTTTTTAAAAAAGTCACGTCTGCATGTATTTTTTTAATTACATATAAAGTTCTACACAAACTCAAACCTAATTTAAATTTTACTAATTTTACCTATTTTATATGGATTCTATTTGACAAATATTTTTTTTATATATTGTTCAACGTAAATTGAGATAATCCACAAATCTAATACCAATTTTTTATTTCACGTTTTTATTCTTAATTCTTTCAAGGATATTAGGATTGTTTTTAATGCTAAATTGTCTTTTTTTTTTTTTTCCCTCTTATTTTCTCGTGCATTATTTTATACCCAATACCAATTATATATTATGTCATTTAAATTTTATAGTGATTCTATATATCAAATTATATTTTATTTTCTATATTATTTTATATAATCACAACTTACAGGAGGAAAACACATGCACAACAATGATACTCCCGATGAACCTCTAAAGTTTGGATTTATTACTTGAGTACTTTTTCAATTGTTGAACAGTAAGTTCTTTTACGTTTTGATATCATATTATAGATGATTAATTACTTCACACACTAAGATATATCTATCATTGAGATGTTTTCATTATTTTTTCTTTTTGGTTTAAAATGTTGTTATGTGATTCTTTCTTAGTTTGTCATTGTTAAATTTCTTTTATATAGTTGATATTTTAATTTAATTATAGTGTTTATTTTATAATCGTATAATTTAATATGTATATATATATCATATAAAATCATTATATGATAATTCAATTACAACATATTTATATTTAAATTTGTCAATAATTTTTATATAATTTCTATTTTTACATATTTTTATTTTCCAAATCAATATAAAAGAAAATTAAATAGTTAGAATTACTTTTAATTTTAGGGTCATTTTTCCAAAAAGTTTTATTCCTAAATGTTATATTCCATTTATTCAATTTTCTTTTTTAATATTTTATTAGGTCCTGTCTAAGATGATATGACCAAATCAGCCTTCTAAACTTTTTGGGTGTGTTTTCATTTTGAAACCAATACACAATAATAAAAAATAATAATAATATCTCACATTTTATAGAGAAAATTTCTCTCATTCTAAAGAGAAAATCTCTCCCTTATTCTAGGGAGAAAATCACATTCTCCAAATCCTAAATCGTCTACCTTATTCCGACGTGAAGAAGCAACGCTGTGAACATTCATATCGATCAAAATTTAGACACTGTGAACATCTATATTGCTGGTGGTTGCTTATATTTGTATACACATAACAATTGGTTTAATGTTAGTTGTGGTGAATAAATGTTGATGTAAACTTTCACATTACAAATGTATGTTGGTAAAATAACACATTAATATTGTTTGCGCTTGTATGATTATTTCTAAATGTGAATATTAATATTGATTAATAATGTAATAGTCACAACACCAATTGTAACACATTACAATACAATAATTCACAACAAGCAATGACTGTTTACAATATAAATATTCACATCATGTAATAAACATACAAAACTCATATATATAATAATCAGTAAATATTCACGTTGAGCATCTCCAATGCACTAGGCATATAATACTTGTTAGTTAAAATGTCTAGTATGATTCACTTTTTTCAATTCCAATGCACTAGGCATATGATTAGTCATTTTGGCTCAACTCATATTCACTAGCTACATGTAGCTAGCCTTCAACGCTAGGCAAAATGTATTCAATCATTAGGATCATTTCCCTCCATCTTTGTTGTTGACATGGCATTCTATAAAATTAATAGTATTTAGATAAATAGCTAAAATAAAGAGCATGGTTGGAGTAGAAACATAAAACAATTGATAGGCAAAATAAAATATATATTTTATAGTAATATTTAGATAGGCAAAATGCCTACTACCGTTGGAGATGCTACAATAACCACACAATTATTACTCTCCATTGCCCGTTATGCCACCTCACATGCTTCCAATCTCTCGAGGGCAGATTCAATTCGACCAATGAAGAATCAATAGATAAACACCACACCTATATACATACATACAGAGAGAGAGAGAGAGAAAGTATACATACAGGTGATGGCTACGATTCGATGGAGCCTGAGATGTGTCTGTTGGAATTCACGAAGATGGAAGCAGACACAACCATAAAGTCAGTCTGATTGATGTCGTCCCAGTCCCACATCGAAACTTCAACGTTATAGACATGGAGTTTATAACAAAGAAGAAAAGAGAATACGTTGTCCCTTCGGGGACATCCGATAAAATTGGAACGATACAGAGAAGATTAGCATGGCCCCTGCGCAAGGATGACACGCACAAATCGAGAAATGGTCCAAATTTTTTTCTACCTTTTTGCTTCGACAAATTTGCAGCAGAATAATCGGAGAGTTAGGGTTTCGTACACTTTTTTGTCCCAATTTCTTTGAGAAATTTGTACAATCATCGGTCCAAATTTTTTTCTACCTTTTTGCTTCGACAAATTTGCAGCAGAATAATCGGAGAGTTAGGGTTTCGTACACTTTTTTGTCCCAATTTCTTTGAGAAATTTGTACAATCATCGGTCCAAATTTTTTTCTACCTTTTTGCTTCGACAAATTTGCAGCAGAATAATCGGAGAGTTAGGGTTTCGTACACTTTTTTGTCCCAATTTCTTTGAGAAATTTGTACAATCATCGGTCCAAATTTTTTTCTACCTTTTTGCTTCGACAAATTTGCAGCAGAATAATCGGAGAGTTAGGGTTTCGTACACTTTTTTGTCCCAATTTCTTTGAGAAATTTGTACAATCATCGGTCCAAATTTTTTTCTACCTTTTTGCTTCGACAAATTTGCAGCAGAATAATCGGAGAGTTAGGGTTTCGTACACTTTTTTGTCCCAATTTCTTTGAGAAATTTGTACAATCATCGGTCCAAATTTTTTTCTACCTTTTTGCTTCGACAAATTTGCAGCAGAATAATCGGAGAGTTAGGGTTTCGTACACTTTTTTGTCCCAATTTCTTTGAGAAATTTGTACAATCATCGGTCCAAATTTTTTTCTACCTTTTTGCTTCGACAAATTTGCAGCAGAATAATCGGAGAGTTAGGGTTTCGTACACTTTTTTGTCCCAATTTCTTTGAGAAATTTGTACAATCATCGGTCCAAATTTTTTTCTACCTTTTTGCTTCGACAAATTTGCAGCAGAATAATCGGAGAGTTAGGGTTTCGTACACTTTTTTGTCCCAATTTCTTTGAGAAATTTGTACAATCATCGGTCCAAATTTTTTTCTACCTTTTTGCTTCGACAAATTTGCAGCAGAATAATCGGAGAGTTAGGGTTTCGTACACTTTTTTGTCCCAATTTCTTTGAGAAATTTGTACAATCATCGGTCCAAATTTTTTTCTACCTTTTTGCTTCGACAAATTTGCAGCAGAATAATCGGAGAGTTAGGGTTTCGTACACTTTTTTGTCCCAATTTCTTTGAGAAATTTGTACAATCATCGGTCCAAATTTTTTTCTACCTTTTTGCTTCGACAAATTTGCAGCAGAATAATCGGAGAGTTAGGGTTTCGTACACTTTTTTGTCCCAATTTCTTTGAGAAATTTGTACAATCATCGGTCCAAATTTTTTTCTACCTTTTTGAGGTGTTATTAATTTTTTTTTTCCTATTTTCATTTCTTTCATCACTTGTTGATTCCTATTCTCAAAAAGTAGTTGTATTTGTATTTCTTTCTATAATAAAACTTTTTAAACATTGGTTCTGTTTTGGGTCAGTGAGAAAGCCTTATATTGCGCAAAGGCAAGGGGTAGCATGGCGTATGAAACCATCAGCCACAATTACTTTACAAGCTGGGGGAAACTCAGGCTGATCCCTGAAATATATATATATATATTTCCTTTCTTGCTAATCCAGTACAAGGTAATTGTGTTGGTTAATTATAAAGCTTTGTGGTCTGCCTTTGTTTAGGTTAATGTTTAGGTTGTTTAGGATTTGCCATATGCTTTTGTTTTGTTTTCATTATTCTTGGATATTTGTATTCAAATAAAGAATTTTGCCTTACCTGTGTTTGATGTATTCAGGGAGTGGTGCATAGGGCAGGGGAACAATAAAAAACAAAGTTATTTTTGAATTTTTAAAAATTATTTCTTTTCCAAAAAAGAGAAATCCATATGAAATTAATGAGTTTTTGTTTTTTTAAACCAAATTAGCTTTTGTTAATTTTTCAGAAAATAAATTCTGAAAACTCAACCAACAGAAGCCTCCTGCAATCAGCGCCACACCTTCTGGTTTGCAGATGAATTTCTTCAGTGAACTTCGGTGTGCAATATATGGGATGCAAATGCCAGCTCTGACACCTAAGATCTAAATCACAGAACTTGAAGCGTTTGTCTGGCTTTGGACTTTCTGAGTACTTTAGACTTTGTGATCAAGACGGTTTATTGTATGTGTTCAATAAACCTTGATGTATTCCACTAATTAGGCAATTTCTAGTTTATTAGGCATAAAAAAGTATGGTTTTGTGCTTGGCACATGCCGAGAAGAACACCAAGTTGTATCAATATGTTGAGTGTGTACGTCTACAATTGTATGGTTTGATTAGGTCCTATTATAGAGAATCAATTTAGATTAACTTGGCTTACACTGAAAGATTTTGATTGTCTACGATGATTGTTTTATCCATATGTTGCTTGCTTAATATCATAAGCTGGCTATTCATCTTGTATGTGAATGCGGTCTTCATGTATGACAGTGTGTACTTTATGTGGTGAGTTGGGTTGAAATTGTTGATGCACTTCCAGAGTGATGTGAGTGATGGCTGTGTTTGGTTATTAGCATCTCTTTTGATATGTTTGAAGAATAGATTAGAAGAGTTGCCAAAACAAATAGGTCTAAGATCACTTATCTGAAGAGTTGCTAATACTGTGATGGAAGAAATTATAAAGATAGGATATGTTGATTCTTATAAAGTGATTTAGCTGTTGACCTTGTGAACTCTGGTTCAGATGATCTTCAGTTTCCTAAACTTCTTTTGATCTCTGTCTCAAGTTTTGCAGTCTGCGCTTGGTCCCCTGTTGCCTTTCAGTAGATGTAAATCAACCCATTTTACCAAATTTCACATATTTTGCCACTTGTGCTTATTGAATGAACCAAGCTAGTTGTGATGACCGAAGTGTATAGTGCATGTTTTCAGTGGCAGAACTAAAAATTATGTCCAGGGGGCCAAGGAGATTGTGTGAAAAAATAAATAAATAAATTGTTGTTACATTACTAGTAGAGAGTAATTTGTTATATAAGGGTTGTGAAAAAATTACTTTACAATAATAAATAAATAAATAAATCTAACAAGTTTTTATTTATTTATTTATTTATAATTCTTTTCTAAATTCGTGAAATATTAATGAAACCATTTTATTAGTTGACAATATGTAGTAAATAAAAATAAAAAGAAGTGACATATACCTATTGTATAAATAAAATTGTGTAAATCTTATTGATGCCAAGTAGCATACGAAACAGTCATAAATCAATTCATTATACATTGTGAAAAATTAATGAAAATATACAATTAGTAAAATGATTTTCAAAAAATTAAGAGGCAATCCAATGGTACATTTTACAAATACCTATGAATATAGAGGTAGTAGTGTAATTTTCCAAAACCTGGGGGTGACCATGGCACCCCCCAGTCCCACTATAGATCCGCCCCTCCATGTTTTGCATTTGTGGCGATATTGCGTACATTGCAATCAATATGCCCTCGTATTTCTACTACTCAAGTTGGGATCTATTCATGCTTTTTAAAGCATATCCAATGGGCTCTCCAAAAATTCATTAATGTCAAATTTTAAGACTCTTTAAAATTCAGATGTAACTTTGTTGTTAACTTGAACAATAGTTAGCAGACTTGCTAAATGTGGCAACTGAGTCGGAGAGAGAGAGAGCATAGGGATGCTGAAATATAATTTTGATCATTTTCACCATACTTTTTCAAGCATCTCCACTGCACTTTTTTTTATTATATATATATATTTAATCATTTGGTTTTCTATAAATACACATTTAATTGGACCAAATTCTTATATAACACATTTTAACACACTTTTAACTATCGAGTATGTAGCAAGCAATAGACAATAGGGTACATGAGAAACAATGGAGGAAGTGAAAAATAATGAAGAAATTAGGGTTTTTATTTATTTTTAATCAAAAGATGGGCTCTAAGATTTTTTATTTTTAAAAGATGCGTGCAGAAAAACTTTGAACTAATATTAAGGATGTATTTTGATGTCTATTATGATCATTTTGTTTTAAGATACATCATATATATATATATATATATATATATTATTAAAAGTAGTGTTTTTCTCATCTTTTGGTAGCACATTATAAGTATTTACTTCTTTTAAAGATAGTCACGTCAGTATATATTTTCTTAATTACATATAGAGTTCTACACAAACCTAAATATAATTTAAATTATACTAACTTTCCTTATTTTATATGGATTCTATTTGACAAATTTTTATTTTTCATATATTTTTTATTGTAAATTGAGATAATCCACAAATCCAATACCAATTTTGCGTTTCATATTTTTCTTCTTAATTCTTTCAAGGGTATTAGGATTGTTTTTAATGATAATTGTCTTCTCTTTTTTTTTCTTTTTCTTTTTTTCTGTGCATTATTCAATACCCAATACCAATTATATATTATGGATTTGTTGTTTAAATTTTATAGTGATTCTTTATATTAAATAATATTTCATTTCCTACATAATTTTATATAATCACAATTTACAGGAGGAAAAACCTGCACAACAATGATCCTCGCGAGGAATCTCTCATGTTTGGATTTATTATTTGAGTTACTTTTTCAATTGTTGAACAGTAAGTTTTTTTATGTTTTGACATCATATTATAGATGATTAATCACTTCACACATTGAGATATATCTATCGTTGAGATGTTTTCTTTATTTTTTCTTTTTGGGTTTTGATATTGTTATGTGATTCTTTCTTAGTTAGTCGTTGTTGAATTTCTTTTATACAGTTGATATTTTAATTTAATTAAGAATGTTTATTTTATAATCTTATAATTTAATATGTATATATATCATATAAAATAATTATATGATAATCCAACTACAACATATTTATATTTAATTTTTTCAATAATTTTTATATAATTTCTATTTCTACATATTTTTATTTTCCAAATCAATATAAAAGAAAATTAAATAGCTAGAATTACTTTTAATTTTAGGATCATTTTTCAAAAAGTCATATTCCTAAATGTTATATTCTATTTAATCCATTTTCATTTTAAATATTTCATTAGGTCCTGTTTAAGGTAATATGACCAAATCACTCTTTCAAACTTTTTGGACGTGTTTCCATTTTGAAACCAATACACAATAAAATAATAATAATAATCTTTTATTTCATGGAAAAAATTTATTTGTCATTCTAGAGAGAAAATCTCTTCCTTATTTCATAGAGAAAATCTCTCATTTATTCTATAGAAAAAATCTCTCCTTTATGGAGAAAATCTCTCACATTCCTAAAATTAGGGGTGCTCGCGGATCGGTTTTGTGCGGTTTGCGGTTCGGTTTTGACCCGCCCGCATCTATGCGGTTTGGGAAAAAGTCAACCCGCAACCGCCCGCAGTGCGGTTTGCGGTTTGTGCCGATAGGGTTTGCAAATGTGCGGGCGGTTGCGGGCGGTTTGCGGTTTACACTTTTTTTCTTTAAAAATTAATTTTCGAGTTTTTTTTCCCAGCGAATTTAGGCATCAAATTCATTTTATATATTTGTGATAACAATTTTTTGATGAGTTTACAAATAAAAATTGAATATCAATGCATTAAATGAAAGTACCCAAAACAAAGAGACTCTACACTAACATTTTTACCATGAAAAAAATGTATATCAATGCATTGAAGGTTGTACTCAATTAGAATTGCCAGTTCAGTAATCAATAATCAAACTATAAGTTCTATCGACCATTAGAAGGAAAATTTTATTAGGAAAAAGTGGATGAATCACTAATGAAAATCATATAAGAAACTAAGTTTAGGACTTAATAATTTTACGGCATTAAGAAAGTTGAGAAATACTTAAAAATAAGGATCCTAGTGTCATAGATAATATAATGGTGCTCCTGTAAAAGTTACAAAGTTGGTATATAAATAATAATAATAATAATAATAATAATAATAATAATAATAATAATTAAAGTGCGGGCGGTTTTGCGGGTTGCGGGTTTAAACCGCAACCCGCCCGCAACCCGCAAATTTGTCATATTTCAAACCGCATCCGCCCGCATTATGTTTGCGAAACCGCCCATTTATATGCGGGTTGGGCGGATTGGGCGGTTTGAGCCGTTCAGATAAACCGTTGCCCACCCCTACGTAAAATCCTAAATCATCTACATTACTTTGATGTAAAGAAGCAACGCTGTGAACATTCATATCGGTCAAAGTGTAAAAACTGTGAACATCCACATTGTTGGTGGTTGCTTATATCTGTATACACATAACAATTGGTTTAATGTTAGTTGTGGTAAATAAATGTTGATATAAACTTTCACATTACAAATATATGCTGGTAAAATAACACATTAATGTTGTTTGCGCTTTTATGATTATTTCTGAATGTGAATATTAGCATTGATTAATAATGTGATGGTCACAACACCAATTGCAACACATTACAATGTAATAATTCACAACAAGCAATGACTCCTTACAATATGAATATTCACATCATCTAATAATCAGGCAAAACTCATACAATAATCAGTGATATGTAAACATTGACCTTATGCAAGAACCATTCTACATTGCATGTCATACAACCATTACATGCTTCTAATATTGAAGTTCACATCATAAAATACAAAACATTAAAATATGATAATCCACAACAATACAACTTCAGTGAATGTGAACATTCACATTCACTGAAATACCCACCTAATAAGCATTACATTGATACATGAAAGTATCCACCTGCTGCAAAAACACAAAAACAAGAAAGTGAACACCTACATTATAATCTCATAATACCACAAACATGAAATAACCAATGATATGTGAAAATATAACTATGTCCATATTTTGCACTACTAATCCTAAATTGAAAATTTTATTGCCATCATTACACGCCATTATAGATTAGACAAGCTCAAATTCACGCCACCAAATATAATGTCCATAAACAATATGCAAACATCCCATATTGATATAATTAACAATATGTGAACGTTCACATTGTTCACACAAAGTGAACATTCACAACATTCAAAAAACAGAGTCTTATATGAACGCAGACAAAAACTATAACCTTATTCAACAAAAATAAACTTGCATCTCCATCTATTCTAGAAAATGAAGTTGAAAGCAAAAAACAAAGTATACAATCTTTTATATAAATCCAAACATAAATGAACATGCATCCCTATACTAACCTTGAGACGAAATTATCTACTCGTTCTCTCCCTAAATTATGTAAGAAACAGAGCATAAACAAACAATACTAATGTAGTCTTGATTCGTCATCTTCCTCCAACACACCAACGAAACCCTAGCAAAACGAAACAACACCACAATGAGAGTGAAACTGATTCACAATCAAAAGTGTAAATCATAGTAATTGCCAAAATAGAAGAATAGTAAAAAAGAAAACATGTATATTCTTTTTGT